AACCTCCGCCTTTGCCTGGTCCCAAGTCCAGGATGAGAAAAGAGGAGGTTTGGGTGCGAGGCTAGCAACTCAACCCCGCAAAAAACAACCTGCTACAAGTAACTGCAACAACACCTTCCGTTGGAGAGGTGTTGTTGCGGCCCTATGCTCCACTGGGAGTTTACAGGAATAAAAAAAAGAAATGTTTAGTTGTAGAAATAAGTAGAACTTAAAACTAATGTGAATATTGAAAAGTACAACAGCTTACCTATGATAAAAAACAATATCTAATCACTACATCTATAGAATTAGTTTCATCCAAAACTTACAAGACAAAAATGTTAAAAAAAAAACAAGAACAAAGAGACACCATCTTACCAGTATCGCCTTTACCATCTTCACCAAAAGCACTAACTTCTTGATTATGTGACAATGGAGATGGAAAATGATGACTATGAAGATTTTTCTTTGATGTTAAATGTTCAAGTCGTACCACTGTACCACAAGATACTGGTTGTCTAGGAAAAAGAAAAACTAAATTCTTATAGACCAATGTACACCATGCAAAAAATGTTCTAAACATAGACTATTTCAATTAAAATTTATTGAGAATTTGAAAATATGGTAAAACTAGCACAAACAAAAAGGTTATTGGGATACAGTAGGTAAAGCTTTGAGAAACTGAACAATGTTGAAAAATAGAACTAACATGATAAAATAAAATGTAATTCAATGAAGCTATAAAAACTTAGCTTGCATTATACAAATACATTTATCTGTTAACTTAGAGATGACAAACATAGTTTGTAAAAACATACTATTTCTTTTTATACTCTTATACTTTTCTTCAGAAAAACATCAGTAATTTTTATTTCCAATAGAAATTTCACTATTCACATTCTAATACTACATCATCTCATTCAATTATTTCTACATAGAATTGCTGATGGATAGGATGTTCAGTTTACTCAAAATTTACAGCATAATTTGTTTCAAAGCTCATGGAATGTTTCATCTTTATAAAAGAATATTGTTTGCATCCTTTACTTTTTACGTAGGATAACCAACAAATAGATCACCCTAACAAAAGTTTAATACTCATATTTTCATAGTTACCTGAATTTAGTAAAACATTTATACATATACACAATATTCAAGTTGTTTATTATGCAATTTTATTGTTCATTCTGCTTAATATTATATATGCAAGAAAATAATATACATACTTAAGAAAAAAGTATCTAATCACACGAGGTCATTGTTATATTTTAAAATCTTTCTTGACTCTCAGAAATGTTGAATTTGTATAATAGGTCCAAAACCATTACTTAATTGTAAGTTTAAAATATAGTAGCATGACTAACATCAGATATGAATAATGTCCCTTTATACTGAATACAGTGTAGCTTTTAGGATTGTTTTCAAGTGGGTCAAATCTCCCACTGACCTCCAGAAAGTGGGCCATCCATGTAACAAGTGGGTATCAACTTCACGAGTCACAGAAGCATAACATAATCAAGTAACTTTTATTTGAAGAAACAGTAAATTGAATCGTTACAATTTGTTTCATTTGTGTATATACTGAAAATATCTATGCATTTACTGACAAAACTTACAATGCAGTTGCCTTCTCTGAACCTTTTTTTCTTTATTTATTTGTCTTTTTGCATTGTTTTGATGAAGAAATGTAGTAATTTTTTTGAAAATTAACTGCTTTCTGAAGGTTTTCGTAGATTTAGTTTTTTCCACCAATTTCTCACAATATCAAAGGAATCTCCTGTAAAACCAAATGACATCATAACACAGCCAATCACATTCCTTTGTATATCCAAATGAGCTAATTAGTGTTTGGAATTTTCTGGTTATGATTGTGATCTATCATAACAAAGTCATTCATAATATATTTTAAAGGGCAGGTGCACATGAAAAATTAAAATGCATACTTCTATATTTGTTTTGCGTGAACTAGTATGCAGGTAAATTATTATTTTGTGTCTGTGGTAATCAAAATAGCATAAATATGCAAAGTATGCATCCTAGAAGCAACACTGTATATGTATCATCAAACTTGAAGTTAAATTAACTATATATAACTTAGATATAATTTCACTTTCTTTATAATCCACTTCATTTTCTTAAAAGTATGTTTCCATAATGAATCCTTGCTCATTACATTGAGATACCAACAATAAAGAATAAAACTTTCTTACATTATGTGCTTGGTATAGCATCATCTGTCTTCAGAAAAAACCCATATAACACACACCATAATAAATATTTTACTCTTGTAAGTAAATTGTATGGTTTGTATAATTTTGAACTCTGGATTGATTTTCTAATCTTAAAATTCTAGTAAAAAGTAAGTGATTTCCTAATATTGAGATGCTAGAAAAACTAAGTGAATTTGTAGGTTAAAACATGAGCTATATGATCAAAACAAACACAATAAGTAAGTAAATACAACTCTCACCATGTCCACATCTTCATAAACTCAGAAAATGAAATCAAAGACTGTTAGGAATATTTGTTAGTTATTTTTTGAGTAACTGAGATAATTTCTTTTTCCCATATTGTGTTTCTAAACTGAATGTATGAATCCTAACGCAACCTTTTTCTATAAATGGAGTTGTTTTTGCATAACAGTTGTTGTACACAATTGTTATTCATTTTTAAGTCATTTTATTTTTTAATATACTTCAAAAGTGAACAGGCAATTTTTTTAGACCCATACACAAAGCTACCTGTATATTACTCTCCACACTAATAACTAATTTACAGACACAGAATTTGATGGTTAATTTCAAAGACATGTAATATGGAAGAATAAAGAAACGTCTGGTAAAACATGACTTGTCTATTTACAAAAAAAAAACTACACATGTGAGCAAATAAACATAATTTTGTCTATAGTGAGTAAAGTTCCACAATTTTGTAATTTAAAAAAAACTTTATGGAAGTTAGAGGAAATGCCATATAGAGGCAGCTTCATGTAAGTTAGTCAATACATCTGTAAAGTACACAAGTTAGTGCAAAGGTTTAAACCATTTCAATGTCAGGTATATTTTTAAATACAAGACAAAAAACAAAAAGATAATTTTTTTTAAGTTAAACCAAATCAAGTATTCAGATAACATAAGAAATCTTTTTATTACCTAATGTTGTAAAAGGAGACATTAAAAACATATTGAAAATGGTTGTATTACATGCAGTTTCTGATATTTCAACTGTTGACTTTCCTCACTTTCAAAGAGATTAGCTTCAACAATCTCATTCAAACTAACATTTGAATTTGATGATTTTACATGACAGACATTGGAAATACCTACAAATGTTTTTTTTTTTCTCTAAATATCTAAAAAAAATTAATAAACTTTAACTTGATTAAAAGCTACACATTTTTATGCATAGATTTTACAAATAATGATGGTATACAAATATACATACACCACAAATTAAAAGGGCCAGGGATCCTGCAATAAAATCTGTATTATTCCATGGCTTTGAAAACATACCTTTACTGGATAATATGGTAATTAAACTACCATACTTGTATAGTTTACATCAAACACACTGTATATGTAGATTACACTTACCCTCTATTACAAGGATGTCCCATCTTTCCATTCACTACCCAGTGGCTATTGATATCTTCCTTAGTATCAGTGCCTGTAACAGACTAAAACCAATAACAAAATATTGTAATACTACCTCATAAAATTCTACGGTGCTGAATGATGTTAATATTGACCTTTCTGGTAATAATATAGTTAGTTGTGTACAATTATTCTAAACTGTAAAAGAGGCAGAAGCAGTATCAATTCACTGATAACACAGAAATAATATGGAAAAAAAAAGAAAGTCTTCAAACATAGAATTAATAGTAAATGTATACATATACAGTAGCATCATATACTCAAATCAGTTTTTTATAAAATATTAATGAAGCTGTAAAATCATAACCGTATTGTTATATAAACTTTCTAGATCACTGAACTGTACATAATGTACATTTTTGTAATCATTTGACGGAAATAGTTCACCATAATTTTTAAAATTGTAAGACATGAATTTTAATTACAACAGCATTACAAAGTTCCTAAGCATCAGTCTTAACTGGCACTTCTTCCCCTATCAAATATAGGAAGTGTAAAGCACATTATATAAAAAAAACTGTGGACTGAATATTTTGACAATGGTAGTTGATTTTGATATGACACAAGCACACTTATACTTTCATGACAAAGTGGCAACACTATTACAACTCATAGGTCTTACAAAGTTTACATTCCTTTTTCATAAAATTTGGTGCATATGCATGTATATCTATCTAAAATGTGAAAAGTTGTGTGTGTTAAGTATAGTTATTAGTTTCAAGCTGTAAAGACTTCAAATCTTATATCTTACAATATTAAAATATTTTATAATTATGACTATAATTAATTATACTTGTCATAAGGCATTCATTAGTGTTATGCCTTTCATTTCTTTTTAACAATACATTTTTTTTAATACAGTCCCTTCAGTTTTTCAAGAAGAAGAGGATATAATAGTATTATAACCACATTATGTCTTTTGTATCTACTGCAAATGATGCATTTCTCTCAATACAGAATTCATCAGGCCAGCAATAGATATGGCAGACACAGTACGGCTGAAAGTTAACATTTTCCTATACCAAAAATGTATTTCCAATAATACTTACCTCCGCTCACACTTTAACATTATCCAGACAGAAGTTTCTCTGCTCTGCCCATCTAAGCACTGGTATAAATCTTATCTCACTTGCTCCAGTCTTTATACTTCACTATACTGCCCATAGTGACTTAAATCTTGTGATTCTCTCCACTTATGTCAATGCACCCCCTATACCAGATCCATACATAAGCTCCCCATTATTACTTCCTACTCACTTTTCGAGATGGTCCAACTTAACAGACCCAAAACTGGCCATGGCTTTCGAATTATAGGGCTGTGGACCGAAATCAAGATCCAAGGTATAGTGGCTAAGGCATGAGGATCACTGTATTGTTTGGTCTTGTTTAGCAAGGTGATATTATTGGAACCAAACCTGAAAGTTACATAATGTTGCATGTCGAGCCACCGAAACTACAAAGAGAATGCAAGCAACACCAAAATGGACAAAACCTTGCCCCAACCTGAAGAAGTGCAAAATGCAACAAACCAAAGTCAGAATTATGGGACCTGTCACTTCTCATTCAACCTGAAGAAACAGTCTGGGATTACGAACCAAAATCCTAACTCCCCAACTTGAGAAGCAAGGCAACACCTCCTGCTCCAGGAATTACGAGGAGGATGTGGAATAAATGAATTTCAACCAATGGTACAGGAAGTGACACTCCACATGCAGAATTACGAGGAGTAGAGGACCCTCTTCCATGATCATCTAATTAAAGAGAATGACCAAAAAGATGGGGCATATACATCTGGGAAAAACCATCCAGGGTTATTGGTAAGAAGGCACCCAGCTTTGCTCCTTCTCCTTTAGTGGAATAATAAGCATAAGCATCATTCAGAAAAAATTAACTTCTGTCCATCACTCCAGTGACTGGAAAGTGGAAGTGGTAAAGACTCCCATGCTCCACTAGGAGAAATGGAGGGATACTAAAGTTAAGGAGTCCAGAGGAATAATGCTCCAGAGACAGTGCAATAAGTGAGCCATGTTACTTATTTTGAAAAGCAAACCAACTCCAATTTATTCAATCTAAGGGTCAGCAGGGATGGGCAAAATCCCCATATGTTTTACTCATAGTGAAGAATGGCAGTTCAGTAGTGTGTTTATTTTTGTGTTATAATTGTGTACCACCTGGAAAGCACACAAGGTGGTCTTACAGAACACCCCACCTCAACAGAGCTCTTTGCTACTTGCTCCTTTGTGTTATAATTGTGTACCACCTGGAAAGCACACAAGGTGGTCTTACAGAACACCCCACCTCAACAGAGCTCCTTGCTACTTGCTCCTTTGTGTTATAATTGTGTACCACCTGGAAAGCACACAAGGTGGTCTTACAGAACACCCCACCTCAACAGAGCTCCTTGCTACCAGGAAAATTATTGATTGGTTTACTGGTAGCTAGTGAATATTTGGAAAGAAGCACACCTGACCAGGCAACACCAGCAACAGAGTGTGATCCCAATGAAAATGATGAGAGGATCCCTGAAAAATAATGAAATTACTCACCTCTTTTACAAATGAGCCAAAAACCTTCCAAGGATACAACTGCCAAATCATGTAAATAATGGAATGTAAAGGTATTAGACACGGTCCACATACCAGCCTGTACAAATCCTCTCCAGCAAGTGACGCAACCAAGCTGCCAGAGACATCATGATATTACGAATTTGATGAGATGAGGCCTGAAGCAGCCTCCATCCCTCCAATGAAAGCCCATAGTAAGTAATATGCAACTGATGAACCCAAGCTATCACAGTGACAGATGAAAAGTCAAGTGACACCTTAGGATCCAAACAGATAAACAAACAGTGATGTAAACCCTTCAGTGCCCACAACAGAACATCGAAGAGCCCAAATTAGGCATTAAAAGACGATCCAGATCTGAACATTCATAGGAGAGAAAGCCTTATCCTCTTCCCCAGCTTTGGGAAGAAAGGACCTGTCGGGATACAACAGACCAAAAGTGGAATGGTAAACAGTCCTCTGAACATGAATCTCAAATAAAGATTTATCCCATCCTGGCTGGGAGCATATGTACCCAAAGCCAGAGGTTGAGAAACAGGAGACCACAAGGACAGGAGCTGGGAATTCCAGTGAGTGGTGAATGAAACAAACTGAAGCTTGCCAAGATGAGAGCAGATCCAATGAAAAACTTGTGGATCAAGCATCCATTCTGTGGAAAGAACATGACAAGCAAGGAGAACAATCTGATGATTGTGGGTCCAAAAGAGAAGATCCAGCCTCTGAAACAAAGAGACCTGGAGTAAGTGCCCCTTTGCATGGAAATGTAGGAGACCACTATGGAATTGTCTGTGAGAAGCATTACCACCTTCCCTTGCAAAAATTCGAAAGCCTGAGACATGGCTTGTTGAACTGCTAGAAGCTCTAAAAGACTGATGTGGAGAGAAGATTTCAGAGGCCCTTGAATTCCATACCCCTACATAAACTTCCCATTCCTGGAGAGAAGCATCTGTGAAAAAGATGTGGGGGTGGGAGATGGACACCTTCTGTTGTGTTGGTCTGTACAACCACCATCGAAGATCGAATGGGTTGGAGGCCAACAGGGTCAATCCAGTGCATTTTTACAAATGTTCCAATGGTCCTGTAACAACCACTGCAGGGAATGCACATGGGCCCAACCCAAAGGAATAAGTGGATTCCCAGGATGCCCACATCCCTAAAAGAGAATGAGCTGCATGCGCTGGTGGAGAAGGAGATGATGGTATTAGAAGAATGGCTTGTTTTATGGCCTGAAGGTATAGAGAAGATGATTGAGCCTGACTGAGATGTGACTGAAAAATACTCATAAATGGATGAGGTACTGTGTGGTAGAAAGAATAGACTTTTCTGTTTGTACGAGAAACCCAACTCTCACAGCTTTGGATGAAAGAGCTCGAGTATGAAGCTCTGCCAAGTGGTGGGAAGAATCCAGTCTTCTATATAATGGTAAGTGTGAATGCCCATTGAGTGAAGACGATGTTAAGAGGACCTGACTATCTAGCAAAGGATGAGAAATCTGTCTCTTTTGCAAAAAAATGGAGATACCAATAGGAAAACTTCATAATCAAAATATGAAGGTAAGAATCTGCAACATCGAATTTTGTTAACCAGGTGCAAAGTGCTACCAGACGGTAAGAAACGACTCCATGGTAATCCGAGGAGGCTGGAGGAAATGACTGAGAGGTTCCAATCACCCATTTTTGTTACAATGAACAAATGGAAATAAAAACCCTTGAAAGAGTAGTTGACGCACTCTATGGCCTCTTTGAACAGAAGATATTGAATGGCTTGTGCTCGACAAATGGATGTAAGATGATCCTTGAGGAGGGGAAAGACTACCATTATGGTAGACAATGAATGAGGAAAACGTGAAATGAAGAACGAACTTTATGGTAAGAACCTGAATAACCCACTAGTCAGAGGGGAAGGTCTCCCATACAGACCCAAAATAAGTTAAGTCCCCACAGGAATGGAGCCAATAGGGTAACCATCTATGTCATTGTCGGCACTCCACACAAGCACAGGATGCCCACTCATAAGGACAGAATCTCCCTTGCGTTCCAATAGAACTTGGAGTTGATGAGAGAGGTCTGAAAACCCAATTGTGAGATGCCGTAAACTGTCAGTTAAAAGACTTGGAAAGGTGGGAGGCCAGAGTCTAGAAAAAAAGGAAATAGGCCACATCCACCCGAGATTAAATGGAATCTGGAATACTTGCAAAAATCAAATGCCTGAGTAAAGGTGCTCTCCAAGACCTATAAAGGCCAAAGAAGGAAGTTGAACACCCTCAAGCATGGCATCTCTCTTCAAAAGATCCTGGTAACAAACCACCACGAGACCAAGGAGAGAGCAGAAGCTGATCACCTTACTGAAGTCAATAAGTGACTAAGATCCTCTGAAAATTGAGCAGGAGACCTGTGAAAAGCCTCAGACAACAGTTGCAAAGAAGATAAAAGATGCAAAACTGTTGGAAAGAACATTCAAATCCTGGAAAACTGAGTGACAGTAAGACAAATAGCAGTATCATCTAAATTCTCACCAGACCACCTGTAAGACTCCACTTCTTAGTGTAATAGGGACTGGACATGACTGGAGGATCATATGCCATCTACACCAGTAGAACACCACCGCCATACTGAATGGAAGCAAACACATTCAGAACTCTTCTTCCATGTTCCACCACCCCAATGGCTCAGAACTGGAAAGTGGCAAGGACTCCCCTACTCCACTAGAAGAACAAGGGGAAGAAAACATGGTGGAGAGTCCTGAGGAATGCCAACACTAAAAACAGTTCCTTGGGTAACCAAGAAAACCCTATTTTGAAAAGCAGACTGCCCCAATTTATTCAATCAAAGGAACAGCTATCCCCTTCTGCTTTACCAATGTAAGTCCATGGTTTAGCATGGTCCAGAACAGGCATATTAATGAAGCAAATATATATCATGAGGAAAAACCTACTAGCGATCTTGTGGAACAACAGTATGTGTTATTAGCCATGGGTATATACCATGGCCATACAATGCAAATTTAAGATATAGAAAGCATACCTGGACAGCCAACTCTTGCCACTGAGTGGGATCCAATCCTAAATGGGACTTACCCAGTCACAGCCACACCGGAGTTTGAAGGATGGCAGTCAGAAGGTGGTACATCAATGAGGAAGAAACAGCTACTCAATGAAGATGGCAGAAGATGAACATACAAGGTGGAGGCCACATGTCTGACTGAAGAGTTTCCTTCAATGTACAACTCCAGGAACAGTCAGATAATGCAGGGGGAATCTAAACATGTAACATATGCCTCATATCATGATTAATCTCCCAATGAATGAATGAATGACAGCTGAAAAATCCTCAGTCAATACCCTCAGACCTGAAGATGATAATGGCACTCAAAGTAGCAATAATAATATCAGAAGTTGTATATCACAAACTTCGGAATTCATCTTAAACCATGAAAAAGTTGAAAATGACAACAACAAAAAATCAATAAACAAAGGTAAGTTATCACAGCAAACTACTTCAGGAAAAACTAAGTGGAGCAAATGAATAAATCAAATAAATCACTACTTCACACACACACACGCAAAAAGAAATGTATAAGTGAAAAGAGCACAAGTGAAAAACATTTACACTTGATCACTGCCTAATGAGAAGTGACAATTCAGTAGAATAGAGGGAGTCATGTGTCAGGAAGGTATGTCACACTCCTATTAGTAGATGGTTGTCGTATCATGATTACATGAGAGATGCGGTTCAACCACATTGGTTGTGTGGTACATGATAGTTCAAGCCTTATTGCATGCAAAAACATTTTTCCGTATAGAGCTCTATATGTAAGCGGAGGTAATGTACCTTATTGGAAACAAACTATATTTTTTAGATATAAATTAATCTCAACCACAAATATTCTTATATAAACTCATGATAACATTCTGACAAATGTATCAATGAATCAATTTTTGAAAGGTCACTGATCTTTTTTTGTCCGTTTAAACTCGTTCTTAGAAATGTGTTACTCAGAATGCACCAGATTGCATCATTTTGCTCATTTATTTTCAATGGAGTTGGTTCTACACCAAATCAGTCACCAAATAAAATCCTTCATTTAAAAACCTATTAACTTATGGCTTCAGATGTACAGATACATGGTTGTTGTTTTTTTCCCACAAATATAAATTATTTTACATAAACATATTAAATATGCATATCATACTACATAATTCAACACAAACAAAAACTTACCTGCTGGCCACTGCCTGATCCATATTTAACTTCATGGGAATGTAGACGAACTTTGTAATTTGTATTCTCAATCTTTATTATGGAACCACACGTTACATAGGGGTAGTGAACATCTGAAACTGATTAAGATACAACAGTGACTAAACTACCTAATGTTTTCAAGTAAACAGAAAACAACAATACCCATAAACATATAAACACTAACATATTACTTGGACATACTTAAAATTTTTTGTTTATTTGTGAAGAGATAGCACGTCAACTTTTAGTTGTTTCTTCCCTTTCTCCATCTTTTAAGTTGCTACTGAATCTCTTGTTTAATGCTACCAAAATATAGGGAAATTACTTTTTCACTGCTACCATTTGTCATGACATTTAAAGAAAGGGAAATTTAAATTTCTTATACTATTTCAATCTTCATGTATAAGTAATATTCTTAAATTTTAAATTTTACAATATTAATTAAGCTGTCATACCTAAAGAAATGCAATACAAAGTTTAACTAGACAAAGTTCTTATTTTTGCGGTATTATTATTTTCCACTAAAGTTGGATTATTAAGGTGAGAGTAAATAGCTTGTCTGCAAAAAAAACAGGCAGCACTTTACAGAGTCACTAGATAGAGAGGCCTACACTTTCAAAACTTCAGAATGAAATTTTAAATTAAACAAATATGATTTTCCTTGATTTATTACAGTAATCATTACTGACATCTCAAATTATAGAAGATGAAGTTACTACAGCCTTAAATATTCTAGTTATTTACTTGCAATTTCATTTTGTATATGTCAGGTTTTTATAGAGCCATGGTTCTTTACAGTAGAGGTCTGTGACTTGTTGGCAATAAATTTCAACATTAAACACACAGCACAAAATTCATTTGTTTTAAAATAATATATTAAAAAGATAAGTCAAATGTATGTACAAAACTTTGTTACATATCTGGTTATCACAGATGTATCCAGAGCTTTAAACAATTCTCTTTTTTCATCAAAGTCCACACAATCATGCAGTCTAACTTCACTTTCACTAACTAGGGTCACCTACACAGACAGACACACACACATACATACATATTGCCCAACTGAGGCCTAAAACTTTCTACAAACTCCAAGACTTATGATGTAACAATATTTACTTAAAGGAATGAGAAAAATTCAGAAGGTTCAAATAACATGATGTCAATTCACAACAATTAAACTACACAACAAATGATTCATAAACAATTATGTAACCAAACTGGCCATAACTACTATCTCTATTAGTAACTTTAATGCTTATACAACAATCCCCCCTTTAAGAAAAACATTTACAATATTTTTAAAATTATATACAGACTGTTTTCAGTTCATACCCAAAGTCAACTCATAGAGTATGCAGCAAAATTTACAGTCCCTTTGATGGCTCCAATGTGGATCTGGTAGATTTGGAGGTACAATGCCCATCTCATGATCCTCGCACTGTCAATTTTGCACCTCTGGATATATGCAAGGGCCCGGTAATCCATCTGAATGATGAACTCTTTCCTGTAGAGGTAGTTCTGAAACTTCTGGATGGCAAATATGACAGTCAGACCCTTTTCACTACTCAATGGCTTTTTACTTATGTGCATTACTGTTCTTCATTACTGCTCGAATTCCATTGTCTGAAGCATTGGCCTGAACAATGAATAGTTTGTTGAAGTCTGGCATTCTATGAATTGGTGAACTTCCTAACATGTTCTTCAACTTCTGGAATGTCATCAGCTGTAGTTGTTCCCAATTCACCTTGTTGGGTTGCCCTTTCTTGGTCAGGTCAGTCAGTGGTGCAGTAACTTCAGTTTAGTTTAGGATGAACTTCCTATAGTATCCTGCTAAACCAGGAAGGAGCTGACTTGCTGCTTAGCCCTCAGACCTGGTGCATCTTGTATGTGGGTTAGCTTCTCTTCCTCCATGGCTGTCTGTCAGTCACTCACCTTGTGTCCAATAAAGCCCAGTACAGAATAACCAATGTAGCACTTAGATGGTCTGATGGTAAGACCTCTTACCCTCACTCACCCAAACAATTCTCTGAGTGTCTTTAGGTGGTCTTCTCATTTGGCTGTGTGGGTCAGAATGTTGCCCACATAATTCTCAATGTTTGTGGCTTTGGGCAACATCTTCCTCATCATGCGGTTGAATGTCACTGTTGAGTTGACTAATACAAACAGCATCCTCTTAAACGGGTAGCATCTGTCCGATGTCACAAAGGCTGTCTTCTCTTTAGATTCTGTCTCTATCTGAATCTGTCAGTAACTTTTTCTGAGGTCAATCTTGGTAAAGAACTTGGCCCTGTCTAGTTTTGCCATGATAGCCTCTGGTTTGCCCATAAGTTTGGAGTCTAACTTCATCAATAGGTTCAGCTTCTGGAAATCTATGCAGAAGATGTTTGAGCAATCCCTCTTCTTCAATAATTACCACTGGTGAACAGTAGGTTGAATTCAATGGCTCAATGATTCTGGCTTCTAGTATTACCTCAACTTCTTGCTTGATCAGGTTTCTCACTGTATAGATCATCTGGTAGGGCTTCATCTTGACTGGATCCTTGGTTATGGTCTTAATCTTGTATTGCACAAGGTCTGTCTTGCCTGGTCTGTGTGTGAAGACAAATGCATACTGGCAAATTAAATCTTGTAGCTCTTTCTTCTGCTTGCCAGTCAGTTCTTCACTGATGTTGATGTCTTACATTAACCAAGCAGTCTTAGCTCTAACAGGCCTTCTGGTTCTGTGTCTAAGACAGCCACACCTGCAATGTCCATCTGTGCCACAATAGCTGAACTCATTAGGTATTCTTCCTTTTTGAAGTACCTTTTCAACAGATTAACATGGTATATCTTGATCTTCCCATCCACTTTCACCTTATAGTCCATTCTGTTGACCACTTCAAAAGGTCCTTTCCACTGCTGGATGAGTTTGTTGTTGTCTGTGGGTAGCAGAACCAGGACCTTCCATCTGACCTTGAAATGTTGGTCCTTGTCAAAGTGTCCTTGTGGGCAGCAAAACTAAGACCTTTTGTCCAACCTTAAAATGTCAATTCTTGGTCTTCTTGTCACAAAAATGCTTCTGACTGCCTTGAGCTGTATACAAACTTTCTTGAGCAACTTGACAGATCTCCTCCAGTTGGTTTCTGAGGTCTAATACATACTGGTATGTGTTCCTAACTTCTGACTCTTCTTCTCCTGTCCACACTTCTTTCAATAACTGCATCGGACCTTGTACTGTTCTTTTATACAGTAACTTGAGGGTGAAAATTCTGTACTCACATGTAGGATTTCTCAGTAAGTAACTAATACTGCCTACAGGTAGTTGTCCCAGTCATGTGGTCTCTTCTGGTGCATCTTTAGCATGTTCTTTAAAACTCTGTTGACTCTCTCAAAAAGTTCATTACATTTGGGGTTCTAGAGAGTGGTAAAGAGATGCCTAATGCTGATGAGTCTGCATACCTCATGCATTATTTCTGAGGTGAACTGGGTCCTTTTGTCACTCAATCTGTCTCTATCTTCAGCAGTGCTATGGTTTCTGGGTAACTTGTTGCATAGTTGACTACCGTCAGCATGTACTGGTTGCCCTTATTGGATACAGATACTAGTGGTCTGATCAAGTCCATGGCTACTCTGCTGAATAGCTCTTCCATGAGAGGTATCTCAACCAGTGGAACTTTGGCTAACTTCCCTCTAAGAACTGTTCTTTGGCAGATATCAAACGATCTGCAGAATCTGGCCACATTTCCAATGACCCCTGGCCAATGGAAGTTTCTAGTGATTCTGTCTGCTGTCTTCTTTGCTCCTAGATGTCCTTCCACAATTGACTCATGTGCCAACTTCATCACTTCAGTCCAGTATTCTGTTGGTACAATGATCTGTTTAATTTCCCCAGTAGAACTGCTTTGATATATCAGGTACAGCACTCCCTTCCAGTCCTCTATTCTGTAAGTCCCTTTTCTTTCCTCTTTGTCTTATGTTTGACTTTCTCTCAAGTACTGTCCAAAAGTTTCTCCACTTTTTTCTCCACTTCCTTCAGTTCCCGTAGACTTATGTTTGGGATGTCACCTTTTAAAACTTGCAGGGGCTTGATGTCTTGCTTGCTTTGCTTTTCATTAGCTGTTCTGGAGACTGCAGATGCTTCAGTCTCCTTTTTGTCTGGGTCCTCTAAATTTCAACTGCCTGGTATATTGCCAATCATCAAGTCATAAATCGGTGTCTTCATACTCATAGTCTCAAGGTCTCCCACATAGTACAGAGTGTCTATCTTTATTCTTGCTGTGGGAAACTTTCTCACTGTCCCATCAATTATCACACATAGATGTACCTTGCCCGCCATCTACACAACAGATACTAGAATGGTTTTCACTGCTGCATTGGACTTTCACTTTCTTGTGCCTGACATAACTTTCACATACGAACATATTGTGGTTTGTTGGCACCTCTCAATGTTTATCTCATGCTTCTATCACCACTAGCCCTGTTGACTCATTTACTAATTTGAGCTGACCATCAATCATACACTATTTAATCATGGTGATAGCACTTCCTTCTTGTGGTGAATTTAACATATTGTCTCTATTCTGTTTCTTCTGGCAGCAGCATCCCTGGTGATAGTCATTCTTTTCTTGTTTCTCTCCAGCACCATCTTTGTAGGTAGCTCCAGCTGCTTTATGTGGAGATTTCTACTGTTGCTTGTTGGTGACAGACTTGCACTCATTTGCAATATTCCCCATTTTATAACAAGCATAGCATCTCTTCTCTCTTTTGTCTGTTGACTTCTTGTCACCTTTGGTGGCATTCTGCTTCTGATCAGCTACCCCTGGTTTCGACTTTGGTTATTACTGTATTTGCCAGTTATACTCTTTCCATGTACTTCCATATACTGTTCTGCTAGCTTGATCATCTCATCCATGTCTTTCAGTGCTCTCTCCCCTTTAGGAACAGTGGCATGTCAGTGGAGCACATGATCATTTGTGCACATATTAGTAAATTTGCCAGTCCTTCAAAACTATCTTCACACATGGCCATGTCAGTCCACCTTGTGAAGTATCACAAACTGAAATACAGCTTCTCCAGTGTCAGGTTTGACCTCTCTGAACTTCTGGCAAAACATTCTTGG